CTAGTTATAAAGCTGTTTTTTATTGACCCACAGTTAGGTCAAAATATCATTTAATTTAAACATATCAATTTTTTTTGCGGTGAAGTAAAAGATTTTACAACTCACATAAAAAAAGGAATTTGATGTGTTACCTCATTTCGAAGGTGCTCTCAGGCAAGCTAAGTTGAAAAAAAATATGTATATGGGTTGGTTACACCCTTTAACTACTTATTTTCTTTAACAATTAATGTCTTAACGCTTTAACTTCTTTAACGATTTAATAAAGGCATTTACAATTATTCTTCAAAAATTTATTATCAAAACTCAACGGTACTGTGACATAGGACTAAATCTCAGTGGCACTATGACATAGAACTAATTATAGGTAACTAGTAAATAAAAGTTGTGTGACAAAATTGTGTGCCCCAAAACAAAAGTGTTTTCTGCGTGTTTTATACATGTTATATATGCAACATTTACTTAAAATTTATATATAAAAAAATATTTTGTTATTCGCTTATAATTAATACTTAACATACCGCTGTTGCTGCTGCCCATTCGTTTACACGGACGTTTTTACCATTTATTATAAATACGATTTAGCTTACGTCTTCTTTTTTTTCTTTGAACTCACGCAATGAGGTACTCTCAAATCTTAATAATCTGTCCATATCTGCTTAATCAGTAATAAGATCAAAAACTTCATCAGCTTAATTAGTAATAAGATCGACAAGTTTTATTTGATAACTTCTGTAGTATAGGATGAATCTTATTTTATTTTTGAATTAGTAAAGTAACTTTTAAAGTCAGGTAACTTATTTAAAACAAGCATTATAAAAATAACACAACTCAAGTTCTTAGTCAATTGTATTTAAAGTATATTAATCTGTAATTTTTAAATTATAAGACAATGATGGCTCTAGAAAACGTTACTTTTTTCAAAGGTCAAACTCATGATAAAGTTAGTGTTTCTCTCCAAAACCTTTGCATCTCACACGACCAACTCTACGTTATATGTTAAAGAACAATATTGTTTTATACCTTAATTTAAAGATGTTAAAAAAAAATCCGTTTTGCTTTTATACAAAAAACTAGATCTTTTTACCATTTGTTTTTGCAAGTGGTCTACTTTGGTATCATGTGAATTGGCTTGTTGTGAGCAAGATTGTTGTCCATGCCAGTTAAGTGGTGTACTGTCATGATGTAACACATAAATTAAATCTGTTTGTAGTTAGTGTAGTCATAAAAAATTTTAAAAAAATTTTGTTGAAATAATGTGTTTATAAGAAATGTTAAAAAGATATGTAGTTTTTTAATATCTATAATATCTATGATTTTTTTAATATTTATAACTTTAAGTAAATTTTATTGAACCAATTTATACATCATTAAATAATTTTTATACTGTTACTTTTTGAGTAAACTTGTTTAAGAGATATGTACTTTGTTCCTTTTTGATAACAATTTATGCTTTTTATGATAAATTTTTAAAAAACTGGCTTCCTATTCCTATAATGTGTTGAAAAAAAAAAGTGTTTATATATATATATATATATATATATATATATATATATATATATATATATATATATATATATATATATATATATATATATATATATATATATATATATATATATATAGACATTTTAATATTTCTGCATTAAATAATTGACTTTTTTCCTAAGAATAATATATATATATATATATATAAAAAATCAAAACAGTTAGAAGTTTCATTATTTTCAAGTTTCTTCACTTAAAGCAAATATATGATTGTTTTTAGAGGTTTTATTTTATTAGTTTTGTATTTACTTACTTATTGCAAATCTTGCATTGAATGTGTTTCAAAGTAATGAAAAGGTTTTTTTGATGGATAATTACATTTTATTATTTCATGCTAGGAGTACATGCAGAGCCAACAGGCCTTATAACTTTTTAACTTACTTTATTTATGAGTTCTTATATGTAAAAAGTTAAATTACTTTTTTTTGTTGTTTTGATTAAATACTAATAATATTTTATCAATAATTAATTACAACCACCTTGAATATAAAAAAATACTCAGTTAAAAAGATTATATCAATTTATAACTTTAGTTTAAGTTATTGATAGAAATATGTTATATTTACACATTGCTCAATTATTTTAAAACATCTAATTTAAATATGATTAATAGTAGAAAAGAATATAATTAGAATATTATATTATGCTGTTTTATTTGCTTAAACTTCAATTTAGATGAGTTTAAGAAAGAAAACTCAAAGTTCAATCTAAAAATAAAAGTTCAACATTTATTATTTTAAGCCTCATTTTCACACACACCCTTTTGCTGCTTAATAATGTCTGATAATTTAAGAAATCTCAAAATAAAAGAAACCAGGTTAGGCTAGCTGAGATAAATTGTCGCCAAAATAGAAGACATGAGCCTATGCAAGCTGACATAAATTGTAATCAAAATGAAAGAAATCAGGCTAGACAAGAACTCAATAGGTATAATATGCATCGCATAGCAAATTTAGTTATTTTATTTCTTTAGTTCTGCTCAGATGCTCTACCAACTATCAAATGTTTACTTGTCTACTGTTAAAATATGGTTTTAACTTAGTAAACTATAATTATTTAAATTTTGCCAAGTTGATCATTAGCTAATAGTTTTAAAGGAAAATATTTGTCACAATCAAGGTAAGAATAATTTTAATTTCTGATCAAATTGCAAAATTTGTTTGCACCGATAGCTAATATGTTTTTGTTATTTTGTGTAATAGCTGATTGTTTTTGCAATAAATGTCTTTTCTTTCAGGTTTTAACTATTTTTACCAATGCTCTAGAAAAAGCATTAGCAACAGGTAAACTGGTTTGTACTGTTATTCTTAAAAGTTTTTACTTCTTTTTTCATGTCTTAATTTTTTTTAGACATCTTACAATGCTTTTTCAGCTTATTGCATTAATTTTATTATATTAAGAAATGTATTGTATAAGTGTATGGATTGTAAATACATACTCTTCTTTATAAATAAAAAGAATTCTGTTCATCATATTTTGTGTTGATATTATGTATAAATAAACTGATTTCCAGTTAATACATGTAGTGTATTTTTTTCCTTTTTTAATTCGATTACTTTTTAGATTATTCAGATAACGTATTTGTTCAATATAAACATACATTTAAAAACTATTTAAAACTGCTGTTTTTTTTAATTTGTTTAATAAATGTGTAAATAAAATGTCTTTAATTTTACAAAGCTTCAAAGCATATTTTTTGAAACCACAATCCTTCATCATTCGTATTTTATCTGAACGACAGTCCTCCAAATATCTGACGTAAACTTCAAATTATGTAAATTATTAAAAATTATATCAAATTTCACTTATTAAAATTTTTTTAGGGCGATATTTTCCTAGTTTTAATTTAAATAAATTTTATAAAGCCTTTAATGTTGTTTTATAAAGGTTTATAAACAGTTAAGTGCCGTTTTATAAATTTTAAAGTCTTTCATTTATTAAACAGTGCTAAAAGATAATATTGTAGCATGCCATAGTGGCTGAAGTAATTTGCGTGGGTCGAAACCTTTTCGTTTTCACACATAATATTTTTATCAAAGTAAAGCAATTTTAAAGGTCTATAGGGATTGTATGCATATCATATATAAAGATATACTATAACAAACGAAAGGAAGAGCTTCTTTTTAAAAGCTTTTAAAAATTTCTAAAAACACGAAAACACCGTTCGAAGTTTGTTGCGCGTCTGTTACGTTATATATATATATGTATATATATAAATTTACAGAAATTGTAAAGTATTGAAAGTTAACCGTCAACTCAAAACAACGATTTTTGTATTTTGTTTTTTTTTTAGAATTATTGAAATAAAACGAAACTATTTGAATATGTGGTGTGCAATAGACTTACCATGATCAGTAATCTATTTATATTCAGTAATAATTATACGGGTCATGGTATGTCAGTTATTCCACATGTTTGAGTCATCTCATGTTTTTTTAAACTTTTAATACCAATGGCATTTAATTTCAGGCAGGTGTTCTCAATATTATTTAAGCTGGTACTGATATCCGATTCGTTGATAAATAGCGATTTGCGCAATGTCTACCATAATGTTAAAAGTTTATTGAAGTTAATTATAATAAAAAAATTATGTTATAGCTTTAAAAAGTAAACAATAAGTATTGTTTTTATATATGACAGCTAGTAAATATTGTTATATATTCATTAATAAAAACTAATTATTATAGTATAATATATTTATTTATAAACTTTTTAATTACGTTATTATTTTAAAGCTCATTTCCAATTTTTATTTCATTTAAAATTTCGTTTTCATTTTGGTTGCAGTTTTTTTTTTTTTTTTTTTTATTTTTTTATTTATTTATTTATTTTTTTTTTTTAAATCACAAATAATATTAAATACTTTTAGAATTATACAGGTATTATGAACAGCTAAAAATAACTTAGGTCTAAATAAAATACCATAAAAACAACTTTTTATTCTATAAACAATAAAACTATACAACTATGCAATACTTTATATACAAAAAATACTGGTTAATTAAGATAATTATGATCTTATTAGTAAACATATTATCAATCATGGAGTTTGCAACTCCAACGTAGCGAACGTAGCAGTGGCGGATTAAAACTTTTTGGGGCCCGGAGCTATTTTTTTAAGCCTTTTTGCGTGCAACAGCGTAAAAATTGACTTGAAAAAAAAGAAAGGTCCTTAATACTATTTCTATGCCCCAAAAATTTGCGGAGCTCGGAGATCTAGCCCCCCCTTAGCCCCTCTCCTTAATCTAGCACTGGTGCGAGGCACCCTAAGCAGTTAACCATGATGATAAATAGTTTAAAAGTTAAATCCCCTATCTTAATTATCCTTGCTGAAAGCCTATAGTCAAAGGTTGTTTTTCTAAAAAAAAATTTAAAGTTTTTTCTAAAAATATTTATAACGTTTTAAAAAAAATCAAAGTTTATAAGTTAAATCACCTATATTATCCTTGATGGAAACCTATAGTCAAAGAGAGTTTTTCTTAAAAAAACTTTACGTTTTATATTTGTATTGCTTTGACAAAAATAAAAGTAACTTTTTGAATATTAAAATTCTACAGTTGTTTTATTCATGCTAATATAGTAAGACTTGTACTTTTTACAATAAGGAATCCGTATGTTGAATTTACTCAGTCTTAGAAAATATTGACTTAGCTCCTTTTTACAAAAACGCTCTTCAATGGTGTTACAACCTTTTATAAAATTATCAAAAAACGCACGTTTTTCTCAACTTAAAACACATAACTGTCCCAATTTATGTTACTGCTTAAAAAATTTTGGTTGTATCTGGTATTTAAAGTAAATAACATGCATAAACTTCCAACTTGAGAATAACTTAGAGAATAACAATTAGCATTTTGTAAGCATGTAAAGATGCATGCGTCAACATCGTGTGCCTCATTTGAAGGATCCATATATGTAACTATTGCGTCAGCTATTTAAAATAGATAAATAAACAAATATATATATATATATATATATATATATATATATATATATATATATATATATATATATATATATATATATAAATATATATATATATATATATATATATATATATATATATATATATATATATACATATATATATATATATATATATATATATATATATATATATATATATATATATATGTATATATATATATATATATATATATATATATATATATATATATATATATATATATATATATTTTTATAAATTTATATATATATATAAATATATATATATATTTTTATATAAATTTATATTTATATATATATTTATATATATTTATATATATATATATATATATATGTATATATATATATATATATATATATATATATTTATACATATAAGTATATATATATATATATATATATATATTAATATATATATATATATATATATATATATATATATATATATATATATATATATATATATATATATATATATATGTATATATATATATATATATATATATATATATATATATATATATATATTTATATATATATATATATATATATATATATATATATATATATAGTAATAATAATAACAATAATAATAACTTAAACTAGTATTGGAAATATTAATTTAATTTGTTATATAGCAATAATAAATTAAATTAGTATTAGACCTCTTGATAAACCAACTGATGGAGAAACAAGGTGTAGACAAAATAAATTAGATTATTATAAAATTGTTGTTTTAACTAACATATATTTAAATATATATAAATTTATACATATATATAAGTATATATATATATATATATATATATATATATATATATATATATATATATATATATATATATATATATATATATATATATATATATATATATATACTTATATATATGTATAAATTTATATATATTTAAATATATGTTAGTTAAAACAACAATTTTATAATAATCTAATTTATTTTGTCTACACCTTGTTTCTCCATCAGTTGGTTTATCAAGAGGTCTAATACTAATTTAATTTATTATTGCTATATAACAAATTAAATTAATATTTCCAATACTAGTTTAAGTTATTATTATTGTTATTATTATTACTATATATATATATATATATATATATATATATATATATATATATATATAAATATATATATATATATATATATATATATATACATATTTATGTATTGATATATATATATATATATTATATATATATATATATATATATATATATTGATAAATTTTGTATACTGCTGAAAATACAACTTTTGTCTGTTTAAGAGTGATCAATATCTTTTTTTTATTTTTAAATGGATCAAATTATATTAAAATAAATTAAACGAAAAAAATACAACTTTATCATGGCTCTAATAATAATAGTAATAGGTGCACCGGAATCTGACGTCAATTATAGTGATCCGATACTTGCTACTCGCCGGAATCAAAGTTAGATAGTAAAAATTTTTTCCTATGCCTACAAGCAGAAACCAATTCACTTTTTTTTGTTAAGTAGTAGTCGACTATCAAAAGTTCATATAAAATACTTTTCATTGATGCAAAGATTTTTCATTGATGCAAAGACATACTTTTTTGTAGAAGGGTAAAAAGATTAGCATCTTTTAATTGCAGTGGTGGCCAAAAATCCTGGAACATCATATTTTATGTTATGAAATCATTATATTTTTGTGAAAAACAATTTATTAGTAAATTTTTTTTTTTTTTTTTAATAAAATAAGTGTTTATAACAATTTTAAAGATGATAGGATATATTTTAAAGATAGATACATGCATATACATGATAAAAGTTCAATATTTAATGGAAGCATAGTTATTGTCAATTACCATTTAGATACGTTTTTGGCATGCTGTTAACAAGATTTGTACAATAGTCTGGTGTGATTTCATGGATCCACACTGATTTGATTGCTTCAACTAAATCATTATAGGATCTAGGCTTTTTTGCAGCAATTTTTACTTTCATAATATGCTAACAATTTTCAATAACATTAAGATCTGGTGATGACCCAGGCCAATTTTCAAGGGTTTGAACTCTTTCATAAGCAAACCACTTCTTTACAATTTTGGCTGTGTAGCATGGTGCACCATCCTGTTGGAAATAAGTGCAGTTCAAGATCTGCATGAAAGGTGGCAACTTCTCCTTCATAACATCCAAATAGACTTTGCTGTTTATTGTGGTATTCTTGGGTATTATCCATAATGGCCCACGTCCTTTGGCAGAAATAGCACCCCAAACCATACAAGACACAGAAGCCTTGACACTGCTACCTGTATATTTTGGCATATATCTACAGTTTTTTGGTCTTCTTACAAAGTTGTTTGTAACATTAAATTGTTTAATACATGTTTCATCAGAAAAAAGAACTTTAGACCAATTTTCTCCAGTCCAATTTTTGTAGCGCTGACAAAATGTTTTTCGACCTTTTAGGGTTTTTAATGATAAAAAAGGTTTTTTAGCTGGCTTGCATGCCTTCATTTTGAAATCAACCAAAAGCCTTCTTCTAACTGTTTGTTCACTTACTTGCTTCTCAATAAAAATTTCTTTTGAAATCTCGTGTGCAGATAGTCGTGGATTTGCATGGCTGATCCGGCCCATAAGTTTGTCAGTTTTTGAGGTCGTTGCTCTGGGCCTGCCTGATCACATCTTGGAAGTAAAATTTAATTAGGGCTCTTTTTTATGCCTTTTTAAAGTTCTACTTACAGTTGATAATGAACAACTAAGCTTTTCAGATATATCTCTTTGAACTAAACCTTCATATAATGCAGCAATATTTCCTCTTTTTTTAGGTGAAAAGCATAATATAGCTGATAAATTGCTTATGAATAATAAAAAACGATAACAAATTGTGCAATATACAAATATGTAACTAAAAACATATTGCTATGTAAAAACAAAAGTATCAAACCTTGAAATTTTATACTTTAGGTCAAAAATAATTTTTTTTAGTCATTAAATGTTTTGTTCCAAGACTTTTGGCCACCACTGTATGTTCCACTTAATTATAGGCATGTTACCCGCGTCTTTAAGTTTCCAGATTTCCTTGGAAAGTTTTGTATCATTCCTATACCTGTTTGCATTAAATGATTTAAGATGGTTTGCAAATCTGAGCTTGATTGTGTTTTCACTAATTCCGATGTAAGATTTTTCGGTAAGACTGGTATTAGGTGATTCTAAAGTGGCTTTATATACAACATTTTTTGATTGAAATTGATAATTTAACGGGCATGTGGTTTTATAAATGCAGTTGCAGTTTATATCATTACTGGTAAGTTTCTTGCGCAAAATTTGATGGTTGTGTGAATTAATTATTGATCGAATATTTGACATACAGCTGTAACTAATTTTTATTGTGTTTCTGTTGAATATTTTGTGGAGCGTATGATCTAATGGAAAATGCAAGTCAATTAAGTTTAAAAAAAGATGCTCAATTTTTGTTATTACATTTTTATTGTAAGGAGGGTTAAATCATATAATATTTTTTTTTCGTTTATTAGTAATAGAAGAATTTAGATTTGAATGATATTGGAGAATGGTGTGAAATCCAGACTTTTCTAATGCGTCATTATAAATTGGAGCAGTCTTTTGGAATATTTCTTCGTTTGAAGAATTGGAAGATAACTCATGTTCAATTGAGATTGGTAATTGTTTTAAAATGCTTGGTGGATGGTTGGAATTAGCAACATAAAGTTGTATTTTTTTCATTTAAATTACTTTGATATATATATATATATATATATATATATATATATATATATATATATATATATATATATATATATATATATATATATATATATATGAAGTATATTAATACTTGCATAAATTTATATTGAAATACAGGGGTGGGACCGCAAAATGTGAACGTTTTTGTTTTATTATAACTATTTTCTCGTTAGATGTAGTTGTACTCTCTCACTCATCAGAAAGTGTCTAAAGAGTTGTTAAATATGAACTATTTTAAATAAGAATGTCCAACCATTGGACATTCTTATTTAAAATAGTTCTTATTTAACAGAAAATTAATTATTACAACCAGAAAAGTGTTCACATTTTGCGGTCCCACCCCTGTATATTAATACTTATATTTCACTATATTTTTTTAAATATATTGAAATATATTAAAAAAATAAAGTGAAATATATTAATACTTGCATAGTGTGCGAATACCTTACTTTAAAGATGTTTTTATTTAGATTCAGTTCCTGATGTTCTACAACAAAAATAATAACATAATGCACAAAGATTTCTTTTCTATTTCTGTTTTTTTTAAGTTTGCACCATATTGATTGGTTAGTGGAAAACTTGCATTAAATCAAAATGAGATTGATGACAGAAGACGTTAAATATAAAGATGAATTTGATGTATAGATAATGAAGATAACGTTGAAATGATTTTATCAAAATTGTTTTAAATATTTTTACTTTTGTAAAAATTTTTAATTTTGTAAAAATTTTTAATTTTGTAAAAATTTTTAATTTTGTAAAAATTTTTAATTTTGTAAAAATTTTTAATTTTGTAAAAATTTTTAATTTTGTAAAAATTTTTGTTTTAAAAAGGTTTAAGTTATTTTTTTGGTTTTACTTGCTTTTAATTATAATTTAGCTACCTCTATTAATAAAAATGGTAAAGGGGCAGATTATTTGTAAATCAATAGTAACAGTTAATAATATAACATAAAATTAACTATTAACAATTATAGTAACAAAAATCATTATAAATAAAAATAAGTAGTAGCTGTAATAATTGAGAATAAGATGCGGAGTTTAATAACATAAGATATTATAAGCTAATATAAGTTTATGAAGAATTATTTCTTTTTTTTTACTCACAACAACATAATATTGTTGTTAAAAAAAAATAAAAAAAATAATGGTTTTGCGGATTTAATGAGTCACGGCGCAAAAAGCAGCTGTATTGTTAAGATTTAAAAACTCGAATACAAGTTT